ATTTTTTTAAAAGCAATGAATATCATCACTACCATGCCATTTAATGTGATATTATGTCATGATGTCATTATAGAAGATCTCTCTTACATCCCATTTCTGTACATTACTGGAAGTAGCATTGAAATTTGAAACAAGACCGACAGAGTTTTGTTTTAATTGTTACTAATTTTAAAGCATCCTTAGGTGCTACTACATGTTCCCTTCTTATGATTAAGTTTTAACTTTCTTTTGTAGTGTGTGATCCTGTGATGGGTGACAAATGGAGCGGGGAAGGCTATATGGTTGGTAATCCATTATGAACTTGGCCCATCTTTATACACAAATGTGTTATGCCAAAGTAATAACATATTGTATGTTTTAGGCATAATAAATCCTATAGTATACAGCATTCACCAGAAATTATTAGGACAGTCCCCCACAGATGTATTTCCATGTTTATTCTACAACAAATTAGTGCCAGTTTTCTGCAAAAGATATACATAGGCATCTTCTGTTTCTTCTGAACATTGCTTAAGACTAAACTGCTTTTGAACAGAAAGCTAATCCCAAATTTTCACGATAGAAGAATGAGACAGCTTGAATGCATAAATGAATGCTTCCATGAAAATCTTTTCATTGTAAGTGGCTTGTCAGTGAATTTGAGTTATTTTCCTTATGCCAGTCTAACCTTTTTACAATTTTGCATTTTAGTGTGTGGATGTGCATTAGCAAATATCTAGAGTGTTGCTACTATGCACCTCATATTTGTACAAGTTCATACATTTTTTGCTGAAAGAGCTGAACCATAGATACCTGAAGATTAGGAGACTGTGTATTGTAGCTAACCTGGAGTGTTTATAACCTTATATTGGGGATTGTCAACATTTGTTTTGACATGGAAACTTTCTAAATGTACTTTGCTTATGAGTCTCAGTTACTAGTTAATTGAGTGGAACTGTCCCTGCATGTGTTTGTATTTGAACTCTTTTCACTTTCCTAGAATAAACTGCCTAACCATCTAAATTCATTATAACTTCCTTTGTTTTACAGTATGTTCCAGAGGATCTCTTTCCTGTGTATAAGAATAATGTGGTACCTGTAGCAGATATAATAACACCAAATCAGTTTGAAGCTGAGTGAGTGTTGTTAAAAAATTTCCAGAGACAATAATTTTTTCATTGTTCAGCAGATTACATTACCTTTATAATGAATAGCAACAACAAAGGATGATGATGATGATGATCAAGAAGAAGAAGAATAGGCTTGAGAGTTTTCTTGCCCTCTAAAAAA